CTACATAACTTGCAAACTAACTGGGATATAGCACCACCTATCTTCCAGTCACTGACAGTGGATAGCCTGCCAGATGATGACGTCCTGCCAATAGGTTATATGCATGGGATTTCAAATTGGAGAGGCTATTTTTATACTACTCGTAAGTAGCAGGCTTTTAGTTGTACTTTTTGTAAGGTGGTGCTATATCCCAGAGCCAAGTATGTAGTCCAGGCAACCTCCCCCATCGCTCACTGGCTTAAGCTGCTGACTAGTTGGCATCTGCCTCTAGCGGTCATGGGTTCGATCCCCATTAGGGGACCGAGGGAATGCATCATTTAAAAATATATTTTCTGACGTCCTTAACTCATCGCGGATCTTTTGCAACCAATTGATTTCATACGCGCATTTATTAAAGAGTTATGTCAACGTAACTGCACGCATCATACGATTTAGTTTATTCGATGTCGTCGTTTCATATGTTCGGCTGTTGTTTGACATCGGCGGTGTGGCTGCGCTTGATGTGCATGTTGACAAGGAGCCTACCTGTCTATTACCAACTACCTCGTCCATACTGGCTCCAGCAGACAGTTTGTCGTTGTTGGAGAGGTGGGTGCACGGTCCTTGTGGCCGTGTTAGGCTCGAAGAGTGGTTCCATGCACTCAGTGTGGAGCGGACTACAGCCCAGCCACCGCCTTGTGTGCGCTTGATTCCCCAAATACAGTGTGCTTGTGTTTGCCTGTGAAGGAGTGTGGGCCGCCTCCGTTGATGAAACGTGGCTCCCATCCACTCCTTCACAGGCAAACACAAGCACACTGTATTTGGGGAATCAAGCGCACACAAGGCGGTGGCTGGACCGTAGTCCGCTACACACACAAGTCGTGTGCATGGAACCACTCTTCGAGCCTAGCACGGCCATAAGGACTGTGTTTCAGTCCCCTCCCACAACGACAAGCTGTCTGCTGGAGCCAGTATGGACGAGGCAGCGAGTAACAGACAGGTAGGCACCTTGTCAACATGCACATCAAGCGCAGCCACACCGGGGATATAAAGCAACAGCCAATCACTTGAAACGACAGGATGAGAAAAAATAAATCCAATAATGCATACAGATACGGTGGCATAACTCTTCGCTAAATTACCATATGAAGTAAGTTGGTTAGCAATGAATGGGCGATGAGGAAAAAATGTCCACAGGTTACTTAAAAATGCTACAAATGCAGCAAAGTTACCGAAGATAAGCGCAATTAGCGTAAGCAAAGTGGCCAGTTAATTCAGGCAGAACAAACCAAATAAAGTGGAATGAAATTTAGCCAGCTTAAAAGGACCTAGTAAATATATATATATACATATTATATATACATATATATGTATATATATACGAGGGTCATTCAACAAATAAGGTAAATTTTTCGGCATACGGACTTCTAATACAGATAGAAGCTTACTTTTCTTATATTTTGTTGTTTCACTTCTTTTTCACATGGATGTAATTTCTTTTGCAGATTGAAAAAAATCTTTGAGAGTTCTGGCGATTAACAAAGATGGCCGACCAAGAAGCATGCTCCAGGATTGAACAGCGGTCAGTTATCAAGTTTTTGGTTGCTAAAAGGTGCAAACCAGTGCTTCCACTCCATGGACTGCCGTTTGGACTCAGGCTCATATTGGCAAACCCATGTCTGGTCACGTGACCACCCTCTTCAGAAACTCATCGCCATCCTTCTCATAGAGGCTGAGACACTGCTGGCACAGCTCGACTCTCCTCTGTTTGTGCTTTGCAGTAAGCATCTTTGGCACCCACCGGCAGCTGACCTTCGATTAGCCAAGGTCATCATAGACAATTTTGTGTGCTGTCCCAACAGATAAGCTCAAAGTCCTTGCAATGTCATCCGCTGTCACCCTTCTGTCAGACTGAATGAGGTCATTGACTGATTCGATCACCTCAGGAGACCTCATTTCTGTAGGCCTCCCAGGCCTGTCTTCATCCTTAACACTGCTGCGTCCTTCTTTAAACAATTTTGCCCACTTGTAGACATTTTTTGGCTGAAAATGTGGCACCATCCACAGTTGGTATTCTCCTATGAATTTCAACTGGTTTGCACTCTTCAGCAACCAAAACTTGATAACTGACCGCTGTTCAATCCTGGAGCACGCTTCTTGGTCGGCCATCTTTGTTAATCGCCAGAACTCTCCAAGATTTTTTTCAATCTGCAAAAGAAATTACATCCATGTGAAGAAGAAGTGAAACAACAAAATTAAAAAAGTAAGCTTCTGTCTGCATTAGAAGTCCTTATACCGAAAAATTCACCTTATTTATTGAATGACCCTCGTATATATATGCCAGTTGTCAAGAATATCATGAAGAACAGTATACTACAGCTAGTCTAATCAAAAGGATCTACGGACGCCCGCACAGCACGGTTTTATGCTAGGCCGCTCGTGCAATTCCATCCGGTTGGTAACGAGGTATGAAGGGTTGCAGACAGTAATCTGGGGGAATTCCGTCGACGTAATCTACATCGATTTCAGCACAGTATCCGACTGGGTAAACCATGAGGTCATCCTCCATAAGCAGAAAATCCACTGTTTCAGTGGACACAGGACTTCCTCGTTAGACGAAAGTGGACGGTACAGGTGGACGACAATCTAACTGACTGTTATCCCTCCGCTAGGGACGTACTCTAATGCACGGTGCCGTGGCCCACTCTGTTCATAATCCACATCAACAATCTACCTCAGCTTATATCGCCGTGTGCCCTGTTTGCAGATGACTTGAAGATCTGAAGTGATTAGAACCTCAGACGAATGCACCCTACTCCAGCAAGGACTCAGCCGCTTATGCTTGTAGTCCGCAAAGGTCCGCCTCCTAATGAACCCATAATAATAATAGTAATGTGTCAGCTGTACGCCGTAACGGCGCTTCGCTGCCGCGCGACCATCACCAGTCGCGCGCGGGTTGAGTATACCGCGAGGACGCCCACCCCTACGCGGATTCGAACCGGTGACCTTATGGTTGCAAAGCAAACGCGCAAACCACTCGGCCACCGGCCGACTCCTCCTTCCGGGTGGGTTCTCCTTCTAATGAACCCAAGCAAGTCCGTACTCATGAGCTTGGAGAATGGTAGTGATGGTCAAACTTACACCCTTGACAGCTAACCGCTACATTCCACGCGATGCGCAGTGCTTAGGTGTACTCTTGCGCTGCGACTTGAAGTCCGGGGATAAAACGTAGTGCACTGCGCATGCTATGGGCGATCAGACAGTTTTTGTACTTGGTCCGAAGAGGTGGTCAATCGCTTCTCTTCCATCAAATGACCATTACTAGAATACGGCTCGCCCGTCTACTATGTAATCACCGTAGGCAAAGCACAAAAGATCGAGGAGGTCCAACAAGTCGCTATCAGAGTCATTCTGGGTTTACGAGGTTTGCCCTTTGAAGATCACTGCGCGAATCTTGGACTATACACCTTATCCTATCATCGACTGCGAGTCGATCTCACCGTGACCTACGGCATATTAGCTCTCCGTGACATCCATGTTGAGACCGCTGCACTACTTGCGCAATACGTGCACCACGCGCGGACACCGGTACAAGCATGTGGTGCCGGATAGTAAGCTGGTTCCCTAACCCCGTGCTTCGGACAGAGTGGTAAAACCTTGGAACAGTATGGCAGAACGAGTCGTTGAGGCGAAATCTGTGTCGCAGTTCAAATTTTTTGTTAGGTTTACATTTCAATGTCATTCGATTCGGAGAACGACTGTACATTCGCAATGATTTTTTACATTTATGGATCCAATGGTACTGTGAGAGATTATTGAATATTATATATGAGACTGGAGAACGATTAATGTCAACAGATACGTTTTATATTTTAAACTATAATTCGATGGAGTTGTACAAATTAAAATTTCTACTTGCCTCCAAGCAACAGTTCGCAATATTTTCTTGAAAAGTTTTCATCGGCGTCGGCAGCAGCAAGCGATTCCTGGCTAATTTCAAGGACAGTTAGGCGTCTGATTATCAGTTAACAAACGGGGCATGAATTTCGCACTAACGTAATGCATCACGAGTTTGTTATACAAAAGTTGATGGCATGATCCTAAGCCAATACCCTTTCCGTCAATAATTTGTCGAACAATTGAAAGACGAATTCTACGGATCACAATACCATCTATCTCGACATGGCCATCGTCTGTTAATGTGGAAGGTCGTCCAGGCTTGGGGTCGTCGCCGATCAATATTCTTACGGGTTCAAAACGCTCGTGCGACTTATATCACTGAGTGCGATTTGTACAGCCCTCCCCGTATGTTTGATTAAGCAGTTCACATCTCTGTAAGAGTTTTACCAAGTTAGCTGAAAAGTTTCACGCACACAAACACGTTGTTCTTCAAGCTCTTTCATTGTTACTTTGACAATAATCCGACGAGCAGTTGGTGCACGTGCTCACTTCAGTGGCTGTAGCTCGCCACATAATAGCCAGATCGAAATGTGGCAAATAGCTGTATTGTTACTTAAACAAGCCTTTGCGTTTGCCCAGTAGCCACAGATCGCCCCATCTGCCGATTGGTGCCGTATTTCAAAATTTGGTTTCTATAAACACAGTAATATATATATATATATATATCATCTTAAACTTGACGCCTTCCAAACCAAACTGGACGTTGTGTAAATCAAACAGGACACATTTCATTGTTCAAGCGGAACATAAGGATAGGTATTAACAGGGAGAAAATAACAGTTAAATACGGTCAGTTGATAAGTGTCTAACATGTGACTGCTTTCATCAAGTTCATCACTCGGAGGAAGCAATTCATCCAGTCTAAAATTATATATATATATATATATATATATATATATATATATATATATATATATATTAGCGTCACTAGAAGTGGAGTGGTTTAACAAATAACTGTGCCGCGAAGAGATCGCAACAAATCAGGGCCCAATTTCGATGAAGCTCGTTTTAATACACTGTGTGGACACCAATAAAACTGAAAATGAGGTGAATGAACGTACGGCACAATATAGACCACCGATCTTCTCAATATCTTCCGTGAGAAAATAAAACTCCAATGCGCGCTTGCATCCAAGAACATCCACTATCTGACCTAAATGAATTGAGACTTAGGTTTGGCGTCGTTACTTATGAGTTCCTCGTTTGGTTCCTTTAGGAGTCTAACAAGGGTCTTTTTGACGACGTCTGGAGGACTGTCGAAAGTAACGCCAATGTGATTCCTTGGAATGGATTCATTCCAGTGCCGTTCTTGGATGCGCGACTTAGCGCTTCCTACACGTCTCCGCAACTGCTTGGATTCACTAGGTTAGCTGATAAGCGACATTCTGTGCACCCCCTTACCTTGTATTGGAAGGTGTTTCTTGTGATGCGGGATATTCGAAGTAATTCTCAACGTGCCGAGAAGTGTCGGAGGAGCGCTGGACATGGTAATGAGCTGAAGAAATGAACTTACTGTAACAATATGAGCGCTGGACAAGGCTTCGTCCAGTATGTTTTCATTTGCAGTCTTTACCCAAATGTTGCAGCGCCTCCTTTCTATACTTTCCTGACAGTCAGTGTCGCCTTTTTGTGCGCAAGTGCTCAGACGTTTCCAGTAGGTTTCACTTTCTGAATCAGTATCAGAGAAGTCAAGTGGCGATTGGACACGATAGGACATCACTAAATTCAATCCCGAGAGGCGGCCTTTAAAAGGGACGCTTTCATTTAATCTAAACAAATAAATGAAAAGCATGAAGCCAATGGTGAATTGCTAAATGTATTTACGTAACAAGTACGGGTGAATGACGGAAACACAAAAACGAACGAATAGTGAAGAAACAGCTTCTTTGCAGGAGACTTTGTAAGACGGGTTCATACTAACAGATTAGTAGGAAGGGAACTAGGATATGGAACTGTATCAGATTTTTATCGAGTAACAGTCCCCAGAAACCAGCGCAAATAGAGAAGATTGTCAAGGGATGCAATTGCGCAAACGCGACCAGAAATAAGACGGATTTGGAAAATATTAGGATCATCAGCATGGTATTGTGTGTTGAGTCGAAAAGCAAGTTGTTGAGGCCCAAAGGACAACGAGCGTTAGGTACACAATGTAGATGGAATAAAGTTGATAAAAGCAAAAGAACTGGTAAAATCATTTTCATCAATGGAAAATTTCAACAGAGCAAGAACAACGAACATTTCTGCGGAATAAGCTGAATTCAGTATATTTCGTGCATTCCCTTCAGCCTCTTACACACAATGGGGGAAAGCTCAAACGGTTGGCAGTAATAGGTTAATACCAAAAATCTACGGTTAGATACGTTGGCTAGCCTGTTTTATCTCACTAGGGTAAAGCAAAATTGGCCAAAAACGCACGTTATTTGAACACCTTGGGCTTCAAACGCCAGATGGCGGAAGTCTCAGTAAAACGCAACAACTATGGGTTGCTGTCTGTCGATTATCCTGAATGCTTCGCGGGGATTCCGGCACATCGAGCAGTCGAATAAGTGCCGGTCAACGGAGTTGGCAGGTAATCTTGCATCACCGAAAGCAAGGTTCTGCGGAATGTGTTCTGAACTCTGAATGAACAACCTCTCTCTGTCCGGCCAATGTATATGCCACCGCAAGTATAGTTACACTGGTAAACACATGAGGCGGTGAGAGTAGAGTGAGGTCTGTCCAAATTGGATTCATGTAGTAGCTTTCTGACTCTTTGGAGCAACACTAGCTCAATTGTATAGTAACACCTCTTTATAGAATGAGGCAAGCGATAGCAGGAATCGTTGTCATTTTCCTTTGTAGGGTAGAACGACGAATACTTTCTTCTTCGAAACTTTAGTTCTGTTATGACCACCGCTTCACACCAATTGGCTGTGCGAACCGTCAGACTCTGCGTTGCCATAGTCACGGCTTCGGTCCGATTGGCTGTTCGACCCCTGCTCCGGATTGGCTGACAAAACAACAATAGCAAACCTCTCGTACCGTGGATTTGCAGAGCAACATGACAAAACGTAGAGCATGCGGGTTACATTTATAGGTATTGGGCAACCTTCTCGGATGTACTTCGTTCCTTTTCCTTCCTTACCTGCCAATACTAATATCAGAATCGACAGGAGCATTCTTTTCATGGATGAACAAAATTGTTTAAAGAAATCTTGGAAGAATCCGTTGGTTCTTGTCGAAAACAAGCGCCAGTGGTCGATTCGTTAGGAGGTGCCCCTCCTAACACCTCCCCGTTCGAAGTCCACTGGTGTACGATTTCAGTATGGGATTGACTTGGAGCGGTGTGACGGGAATTCTGCATCGGTCTGTCTATCTTCTGAGCCGACATACAGAGGTAACATAGGGTGTAGTATGTCCATCTTAAGAAGTTGCAACAGTCTTCGACTTGAAATCTTCCAAGAGTATTTCCATGGGGGCCGTCCAGACACCCAGTTGTATTTGGCGAAATACATCTCTTGAGTTGGTTGATGTAAAGGACCCACCTTTCTTTTCCACTGGTTACCTCATAGCAGACATGACCGTACCATTTTGTAATTAGGCCACGTATCCACGCAAAATTTCCTCTCCGATAGTCTTTTTCCAGAACCAGCTGTCCTATATCGAAAGTCCTCGCTATAACTCGGTACTTCCGATTGTAGTGGCATTCCATTTTCTGGGTTCTCGCAGCGCTGTGATTCTCCTGCGGTCCTTTGTGGACAAAATTTTTCGGGGCTTCTTCAGCAGAAGCGATTCGGCCGGGGATTTCCCTTCAGGTACCGGCGGATTGGGTGTGATTCTGTAGGTCAATAAAAAGGTCTGCAGAATCTCGTGAATCAGTAAAACCCTCTGTTTTAAGCAGAGCTCTCTTGAATGTCGACGAATTTCTGCCTGTCTATTTGACAGGGGTGGATAGGAAGATGTTCCATCCCGTACATCGCACAAAAATCTGCGAATTATGCATAGATGAAATGAGGCCTGTTGTCAGACGCAATTGTTTCCAGGAATCAAAATAGACCAAAAACTTCTGAGGGCGGCTATAGTAGCTGACGAAGTGGTGTTCGACATTTGTAAGATTTCAGGCCAATTACTATACGCGTCAACGACAAGTAGAAAGTTATGTCAGTGATTGGTCCTGCAAAATCAAGGTGCACTCTTGACAATGGTTTTGTGGACGTTGGCCAGGAAAATAGTTCACAATTTCGGGGTGATTCCGCCGCCGAAAAGCATTTGGAACACGAGCGGATTACATCCTCAATTTGTGCAGCCATGAACGGCCAATAAACGTAACTTTGCGACAAAGCCTTGGTTCTGCTGAAGCCAATATGTCTAGCGTGAAACTGTTTCAAGACTATGGATTGGAGTTCCGCTGGTATGACGAAGCGTTCTGCAAACAGGACGCAGTCTTGGACGATGAATAAAGAATTCCTTCTTTGGGCACTGCTTTAGCCGTGCGTCCGAGATTTTTCGTGGCCACTGTCAACGGTGGAACTTGCTCACTTGTGATAGCGACGGGTCACGTAAGGTTGCTTGTGGAATCAGGCCGAAAGATATTGGTAGTCGACTCATCGTGTCTGAAATCACCTGATTAACTTCTATTTCTAATGAGACGCTGACAACTACGGTGTCTTCTGACTGATACTGTTCATCCGTCAATCGTGGTAGCGCTTCCGCCTGACAAATGCCATTTTTCGATCAGTAGTTATTAGTGAAATCATATCCGAATAACGTTGTAGCCTATTTTTGCAAACGATTGGCCGTGTACACTGGAATCCCTTTCTTGGACCCGAATATGGCAAGGAGAGGCTTGTGGTCCGTTATTAGAGTGAATTGACGACCATATCGCATCTTGTGAAAATGCTTTACCACAAGCACGATGGCTAGAGCTTCTTTTTCGATTTGTCTATAGGGTCTTTGCTGCGGGCAGCGAACGAACGGCATGAGAGATCGGTTTCTCGGCTCCGTCAGGAAAAAGGTATGAGATGACTGCGCCGACTCCATAGCTTGTAAAGCCTAAGGCCACAACACTTGTCAATCGGATCATAATGTGGGAGTATCAGCTCCGAGCTCAGCATCGACTTGATCTTGTCGAACACTTTTTGACATCTAGACATCCATTCCCATGGGGTATCCTACTTCAACAGTTGGTTTTATGGCCCGCGTAATTCATGCATCGAGGGTAGGTAGGCACTGTAGTAACTCACCTTGCCAAGTAATGATCTTAAGGTCACTACATCCTTTGGTGGCGGCATGCATTTGATCGCTTTGATGCTCGACGAGTCCGGTCGTCTCCCAGTCTCGTCAATGATGAATCCAATGCGTTTATTGAACTTTATGAAAAACTCACGCTTGTCTATTTTCAAACGAATCCGTCTTCGCTTATTCTATTGAGTACATGCTCCGTCCGTTGACGCAGTTGTTCCTGGTTAGACGCCATAATGATGATATAGTCCAGATATGCTGCGGCGTACGATATCCCCTGAACCCTTGCGTTCATTATCTGCTGGAAGATAGCCGGGCCGATTGACCACCGAATGATAGGCGCGTGTACTGAAATAGTCCACGGTGGGTATTTATCGTCAGCATCTCTCGGGATTCCTCCGACATTTCAATCTGGAGGTATGCGTCAGACAAGTCTAGTTTGGCAAAGCACTTGCCGCCGTTCAAGCGTGCAAAAAGGTCTTCGGGGAGTGGCAGGGGGTATTGGTGATTTTCGATCGTCGCATTTAAGCCAGTAGAATAGCCTGCACTGAGCTGAATCTTGTCATTTGGCTTCGTAACAATTAAAACTGGGGCCACCCATGAAGAGTAATTGACTGGCTTAATGACTCAGGCGGATTGTAGCCTCTTAAGTACTAGGTCAACGATTGACACAACTGCGTACGGGACTGGCCGCTTTGGTAGAAAAACGCTTTGCACCGTGGCGCAGGGATAAGCTGGCTTTGGTTTTCGGACAAAAGACAAATCCATCCTTGAACACCTGCGGATACTTTTTTTGCAGAGTTTCCTTCCAGTTCACAGCCGGACTGTGTAGTTTGTTACATAGAGAGTTCAAGCGAACAGCCAGTAAGTTCAGCTTTCAATCCGGTCACGTAACAGATACTTTCAAAATGAGTCTTTGAAGGTCACAGAGCAGGTAATCTCACCAACTAGTTTCAACACTCCTGATGCGCTGGTTGCAACACGAGATGTGCTCTGGATACATGACTCCCGAATTTCTTCCAAGTTTCCTCTGACATGACGTGATATCTGATGCAGGATCAACTTGGAGACGAACAGGAACTCGATTAACGTACACTGTGACAAATCTCCTACCTTTTACGACCCCTTCATCGGAAGTAGCAAAGACAAGATAAAACTGAGACTCATGTTTTGCAAAGGATGTTGGCCCAGACTTTCTAAGATTCTTGGCGGTAACGTGGTTTTTGATGGAGCGACAGTGTTCCTATTTATAGCCAAGGTTGCTGCATTTTTGACAACGATGCCTTCTGAGCGAACAAAATATGACGTAATGTCATTTCCCACATTGCCAGCATGAGGATGGTGGCTTGCTTGGCTCCATCTGTTATCTTTCCGCTATCAATACGGATAACCAATGCAGCCACTCTGGTCACGACACACCCACTTCCCAAATCAGAAGACAAAGGCCTCTGACGGAACTTGTATGGAGCACTCAGAAGACAGAGAATGTACAGCCAAAATATTAGGTCGAAATAAATAGTTCATGAGAGAGATTGAGACTGTATTTAAGA